GTAAACCTTCAGTTATAAAAAATATTAGCTTTTATATATTAGGATGCTCTATTAGTAAATTCTAATAATCGTCCTACCTAATTACTAAATTTAATTAGTAGTAAGAAATGTTCTAATTTACTAATAAACTTAATAAAAGAAGAGTCAAAGAGGTTAAAAACGTTATAACTTATATATATACGTATATAAAAATATATAAGAGTTAAAAATATATATAAATATATCTAAATTAAATATATATATACGTATATAGAAATTGAATATATTAAAAGGGGGAAACTAGATTTTATTAATTCTTATTAATTCTAATTAATATAGTATAAAATTAGCAGAGCGCTAAATTAATTAAAGTATAACTCTTATATTATAATTCTACCTAAATTTATATAACTACTCTACCATTACGTCTCCCTCCTTCTTACTAAAATAATTAAATTAATCTTACCCTTCCTCCTTTCCTTTTTTTTTTCTTTCCTTCCTCTAGCCACTACAAGACCTCGCCGTCGTCGCTATTATACCTACTTTCCTTTTTTCTAATTTCAACCTTTACTAGCCCCTTTAAATAATTATAAATTATTCCGCAATCGTTTTTAATTTTATAAACTTATTAAAATTATTTTTATTATTTATATAATATTTATATAATATTCCTACTAATAAAACGCCGTATAGGGTACTTTAGACTATAAATGGGCCGGCTACTACCCGGATAGTTACGTTTACCGAAAAACGTATAATTATTATACTTATTCCGGCTCGCTATTATTACCCGCTGATTCTTCGTAGCCGCGGCCGCCCGCTATTATAAAAAACCCTAATATATTACGAACGTAAAGAAAAACGCCGCGTCCGCTATATCCGTCGCCGCTAAAAGTATATAATTAAAAAGGTAATTTTAATTAAAGCAAAAGACTATTTATTTACTATTACTATAAATTTTTTACCGTCTATATTATATATCATATTTATCCTTTTTCGGTATACTAACTATATGTTTAATATATAGAATAATATAGATAAAATTCCGGCTCCGGCCGCAAATACCAAATACTAACCTTATATTGAACGTAGTATTAATTATATTCGCGCAACCCTTAATACCGCTTATAACGTTTATAATAATATAAATTATCGCTGCTACTATCTACCCGCGCCCAATTTCTTCATTAAAATACGTAATACTTAAAATATATTACACCGTATTATTAATAAAAATGAAGAAAAGAAATAGCGTACTACTAAAGCGGTTGTAAAAAAACTTCTCCGTTATAGCCTAGGAGGGTTATATACGCCCTTCCGTATAAATAATTTTTTTTTCATTAATAACGAAAATAAATAAAATTCTAACTATATATAGTACTCATATTTCGACTTTTATAAAAATTAATATAGCCCCCGACGCCACTCTTATTTTTCACCGCTTAGAGGCAAAGAACAAGCGCCTTTATAAACGCATTATACGCCTTAATATTACTACCGCTATAATTACAACAGCTACTAATAAAACAAAGGATCTACTGGAATTAGAGGTTAATATTTAAATATATATTAACTATATATTTAACCGAGCGCTCGCCGTTAGAAAAGAAGGAAAGTTTCCAGCTAAAAACCGTTTTATTATAAATACTAAAAAAGAAGCTTCTACTTACGGCAAAGAATATAAATAACGAAGATACCTCATAGTCTTTCAAATATATACTAAATATATATTTAAATAATATATATATAATAAGGTTTATATTTATATAAATTAATATTAATAAGAATAATATAAATAGAATAAATACAAAAAACATTCTTTATTTTTATATTACATGGTACTTATTATATTTTAAATAAAAAGTAATTTTAAAGTCAAACTTTAAACCGAAAGTAATTTCAAAATAAAACGGAATAAAAGCACTTATTTTCTTGTTTAATTAGGATAAAATCCTATTACATCATTTGTATACATTTATACAAATATATTTACGAAATATAAATCCGCTATATAATACAAATACGTATATTTAAAATAGTTAGGATAAAATTGTAGTATATTGTTTTTTTTTATAATATACCGACTTATTGTAAATTTATTTCCTTTACCTCCTCCCCTTTTAATTATTTTTTACCTCTATCCTTCTTTAACCTCCCCGCCTTAAAAAACCTCTCCTACCTTTAATACAACTATTATAACGATAATGTAAGCGTATATTTCGAATTCAAAAGTAAATAATTAATAATTAATATAAGAACGAATATATTAGTTATTGTAAAATTCTTTCCTTAGAGTTCCGTACTTCTATTTTTTTACCCGTTAACCCGAAATTAACTTAAGTTTGAACGTAGAATAAAATAACGAAGGATAGTATCGATGTAATTATTAACGACTAGTTTAGGAATTTATAAATCGAAAATATTTATAAAAGTTTATTTTTATTTATTTATATTTTTACTTTTATATATAGAATATATATTAATATTATAATAGTATACGAAGGTATATTTAATGCTATTAACCCCTATCCGGAATTTAAATATTCCTACGGCCTAATACGAAACCTTAATGTAGAATAGACTCCTCTTACAAAATTAAATATTTAAAGTAAATTTTATTACTTTATTTATATTTAATATATATTAATATTATTTTAGGTAAGAAAATCGAATAGAAATAAAAGGATATTAATAGGGCCGTACCGTAGGGGATATAAGTAATCGCTAAAATTAATAGTACTATTTACCCTATTATTATCGGCGGTAGTACTATATAATGCGGAATAAGTTTTAGGACTACTAATATTCAACCTATAATATATATTAAATAATTTTATTAATTTTCTTATAATTCCGCCATTATCTTCGTATCTGATACCCCAATACTATAATTAAAACTAATATATCCCGTTATACCCTCCAAGAGAAATAAACTAGCTGGGAATATATATATTTTCTCCTTATATTTAATATATATTATTTTCGCTAATAATTAGGGTTCTTAATACTTTATTACAATACGTTTTAACCTAACAATACCGGACCGATAAATTTAAGAAGCCCCCTCACAATACTTAGATCTTTAGAGGTATTATTATTAAATTTGAAAATTTTATTAAAAGGGTTTAAAGGTTTAAAAATATATATAGTAAATTCCCTTCCGTACCTATTATTTATATATATTATATTAACGGTTCTACTTTTTAAATAGAGCTTAAAAAGGCTTTAAACCCCCGCAAGGAACTCCCTCCCATTATACGCAGCTTGCCGCTACCTAAGAACCATTCATTATATAATTGGTACAATATACTAAAAGTAATACTTTATTAATATATAAATATATATAGGACAAATATTAATTCTATTCCACAATAGCTCAATTCCGGGGAATACAAGCCGATTAAGCTGCCAAATACTATTATAAAGTCCTCTTAGCTTAATATACAATAAATATATATATTAACTTATAATAGAACCGCCCTTAAGCTTAAAAAGAAGATAAGGAGGAAAAAGAGGAGGAGGAAGAAGAGGAAGAGGAGGAGGAGGAGGAGGAGGAGGAGGAGGAGGAAAATTAAAAGGAGGAGGAAAAGTAGGCCGTCTCACCCAAAACCCCGGTAAATATTAAATTTATCCTTCCAGAAAAGCGCAAGGAAAAGGAATAATAGACGCCTCAAACGCTTTAGAAAGCCCCGAGCGCTTCAAATACGCGTCCTATAAATACTCTACATACTAATACCCCCTAGCAAACGCTTTAGAAAGCCCCGAGCGCTTTAAATATACGTCCTAAAAATATTCCGCGCACTAAATACCGAATAAATATTTAATTTTTTTAAATTCCGTTAACGGTAAATAATATATAGAACATATACTAATAGTATTTAAGTCGACCCAAATACTTATACGCCGCGGACTACTAAATTTGCTACTAAATAGGTTACCCTTAACAATAATATTAATCCGTTGCCTACTAAGAAGTAAGACTTATATATCCTATATATAATAACTTAGAAGTAGAAAATAGAAGACGGAAATTAATATAGGCTAAAAGGATATAGTAAGTTATTAAGCATAATAAAAATTAATATTATAAAAGAAGGGATTATATTAGTAGTATCTTATACTTCATATTGCGTTAGTTTTAATAGTACTTAGTAATAAATTCGGTTCTCGGTACTATTAGGATTGAACTATCATTATATATTGTATATATAATACACAAGTATTATAATATATAAGTGCTATGATACTGTGAACTACGTCTTTCCATTTATATATGTGTGTAACGAGCGTATAATTGTAATTTACGTTTATGAACGTGCGCATCAGATCTGTACAGTCGGTACTTTCGGCTTAAGAAAAGTGGAGTATGCACGGACCTCTGGAGGGCCCCTAATACAGGTGCCCGTTAACCCTGAGAAGCTCTGGGTTGGAAAGGGAATTTCCGGGCGGGATGACGGAGTGCACGGTGTAGGAAAAAGCCTTGGCGAACTGTGCATCTTGAGGCTCGATCTTTACTCCGTTTACACCTGGTGTGAAGATGGCCTGAACTTCCAACAACGGTTGATACTGGTACGACCAGTCCGACAGAAGCAAGCATCTTGCACTCTCAGCATCATAGCGTCTCCCGTAGAATCGTTGGTCTATCGTTTTCCAAGTACTATAGCAAGGAAGGAAAGGACTAGTCCAACAGCGCCAGCCATACATGCGCTACTACAATCATGGTCATTTGACCTCAACAAAGCTATATAAAGCCATGGCCAAAGCCCAAAACCTCTCCCCCACCGAAGTAGCAAAGTTGAACACCGAGATCCTACGTATTCGTTATTTTACAGAGATCCAGACCATCCATAGCCCAACTCCTTTTTTTTACAAGGTACGCCTTAATCCCTACTCCAACCGTCAACCAGATGACGCCCCACCTAACCTAGACATCGAGCCTATATCAACTCCTTGCTCTTTTAATTCCCAAAGTCCCTCTTTATAAACTCCACTTCCGCCATGTCTTTCTGTCTGGGTTGCTCCTAATACCCATACATATTCGTTCCACCAACCCAGCTCTGCATAGCACCGGGTTGTCCCTGATCCGACATGTAATAACCCAACTCGTTCTCATACCCGTCATTGACGCCCAGAGTTCCGGGTTGCGGGTAATACTGCTGCGGGGGTGCCTGGGGGTCATACGGAACTTGTCCCTGACCAGCCGTAGTCGTTGGAGGGACGCCACCGGCTTGTTGAGTGTCAAACGCTTCGATAAGCAGGCCCAACCCATCTGTTGACTGCCGACCAGCTACACCAGCGACGACAGGTTGCGGTTGCTGCCCCTGTTGCGAAGGGGATGCCAAATCTTGCTGCTGGGGGGCGGTTGGGGCAGGAGTCTGCTCCTGCGGTTGTGACGATGTAGGCACACGCAGACTGGGGTCGATGAACATCGCGGGAGTTGGGACACTGGGTTGTGCCGGGCTAATGATCGCCTGTTCAGGACTACCCTGAGGTACAGACTCCTGCTTTTCGCTTAGAGCTTGCTGTACCTGCTGGGCCTGTTGCGCCTGCATCTGAGCAGTAAAGGCTAGGTGCTGCTGTGATGGCTGCTGTGCCTGCACTTGTGCCTGTTGTGCCTGTTGCGCCTGTGCTTGAGCCTGAGCTTGGGCTTGCGCTTGAGCCAAAGCCATATGAGCTTGAGCCTGGGCTTGCTGTTGCTGGACGGTCGGCATCTGAAGGACGTGAGGAATTTCATCTCTCTGGGAGAGCAGGAGGTTAAAATCAGCCTGTTGAGTCCGTGAACGAGGCGCCTTTTGGAGAGAATGATGATAACTTACGCTGTCCGCCATGGTACCCTCGTTACCAACTATCACGCCGCTTTGGGCTGTGTAAAACCGTTCCAGATGCTCATACCACCTAGTTGCCAAAGGCCATATGTTCCTACTTTCTGCCAATATGCTGAGAACACGAGCAACCATCAAAGGTCCTTCGCGAGTAATGGCTGGCTCAGGGCAGACTGATTTTGATGCCGCGTTAGCTTACTGTCATAGAAAGAAATCTCTTCAGGGCAGATAACTTACGATTTGGGTATTTGCACAAGTAGCATGCGAGGAAGCCACAGCTGTAAACGCAGAACGCCTGAATAGAAGGTCAGTCGGCATTCATTTATTATGTCAAGTCCCATCAGTACTTACCGCCATCTGTGCCCCAGGACCTTCCTCGGGTGACCGCTCATTGTATTGAGTGTCGATTTGTTCGTACAGATCCCTGACGTTGCTGAACAGCTGACGAGACATTTCAGTCCAGAAAGCTGTGCGCTCCGGTTGGGACTTATCGTCGGACAAGATACTGCAACGCTGTCAGCTCAAGCTCTTTAGCTCTTCTCCGGGGTAACCTACTCGGTCAAGTATGCCTTCCTAAGAACAATATTGCAGAGGCGAGTTATCATCGTCACGCCGAGGTATGCCTACATGGGATGTTAGCACTGGGTGAGGTCCTTTTTTCCATCTTTCTCTCCTTGTAACCTACCAAGTCTTGGCCCTCTTGCTTGTATCCCTTAAGGAGAAAGCTACTCCACCTATGGTCATTAGGCAGACCTCTCTCCCATTCCGCAAGGCGGTTGACCATAATTGCATACTCGCTTTCTGGCTCCCATGGATCCGTGACTTTGTCGTTGCTGAGCACCCGGCGGGAGATCGCTCCCCAGAAGTAATGGGCCTGGATGAGAGTTGCAAATAGGGACCGACCCTCGTCGGTGACAAGGCTAGGGTTCTCCAGAGCTGGGGGAGTGTCCTGGAGAGCTGCTCTCGACTTGGGTATTTGACCAGTGGCAAAGTCCTTCTCGTTGCAAGGCAGCAATGCTGTGATATCGCTAGCTGATAGAGACACGGGGCACCGCGGACCCGAATGGAGGTTGTCCTGGCTATGGAGCATCCACTGTCATTCACAGTTAGTAACACAGCACTTCCCAGTCCTATCATTCCATCCGATGTGATTTTATGTCACTTACCAGAGTGCGGCGGGCGGACTCTGCCCTCATGATCAATTCCTCCGAAGGGTTCTCTGGCAGCCTGTACGTCTCCTCCCTGTGCAGTCCCATCAACGTGGCCATACGCATAGCAATCGCCATGTTGATCGAGCTCTGCTGTTTCAAGCTGCTTCCCTGCTGGGCAATACTCAACAAATAGAACGCCTGACATCTCTCCAGGTCCGGATCTCTATACAGTTCGCGGCAAGCAACCTCAGAGGCGCGTTCCATGAATACTTCAGCGGCCTTAACAGCACCGCCGAAACGATCCACCAGTGTTGGTGTCAGCCGGGCCGAAATGCTCAAGATACTCAGCAGGAAAAACACGCTGATAGATCGGTGGTTCGTCCGTAGCCGTTCGGGGAAGTGTTGCTTATGGATGAAGCCCAACTGGAAGTAGTGAGCTGTGAACTTGTGGACGGCTTCGACTATTTCAGGCAGCGGCGGCAGAAGATCCCATTCGTCGTAGCCCTTAATCGGTCTGGGCATCGCCGGTACTGGTGAGCGTACGGGGGCATCGAGGATTTCGCGCCGGACCTTGGCGGGGTCTCGCTTGGTCGACTTGTCGGCTCTGATTCGAGGGTGTCGGTATTCGCGGTCTTGATCGGGCTGGCCACGGACGGGGAACGTGCTGAGGAAAAGATCTGACTTTAGCAACTGAGGAGAGCAGAGACACCATTGCGACAAATAGTGTATGTATCGTGGGAACTCTTACCAGTCAGCCGGACCAAGTCCAGCATCGCGGCAGGCCTGGCAGGGAGGCTGGGCCTTGTCATGGAGACATTTGCTTCTCATACGGCGGCATCTGTAAAGGGCGACACGTTAGTCTTTCGCGTCCACTTGGGTAATCGCGACGTTTGGATGATGGCAAGTCAATCCGGCAACTGTTCACTTACCTTCGGCAAGCGATTGGAGCTCTTCGCTTGATGACAGGTGCTGGGAGGGCTAAGCCAGGAACTTGTCCAGGAGTTCCGACAGAGACTGGACTATTGACCTGGCTAGGAAGTTGACCGGGAAGAGGAAGTTGGCCAGGAATCTGACCAGAGAGCTGTTGACCGTTGATCTGATTGACCTGGGGGTGCAGTTGTTGCTGCTGTTGCTGTTGCTGTTGCTGCTGTTGCTGTTGCTGTTGCTGCTGTTGCTGTTGCTGACTATTGTTATTCGGCACGGGGCTTGACAAGTCGAGCTGCATCGGAGTCTGAGGGGAGTCCTGGTCCTGGTTCATCTCGACGACTTCTTGTTGTGGTTGAGGCGACGCGGCCGGCATCGAAGCCATCGCCATGGGAGCTGGCGACGGCGACGGCTCTGCCTGCTTCATCTCCTGGTCCATCTTGCCGGCAACGACGCGGGCGTCGCTTCGGGACCCGTAGGAAGATGAGGAGGATGCCTAGGGCAAAAAGAACAAGAAAAAGCGATAATGGGACGCCGGTGCGGCACGGCAGCGATGTTTAGTTGCAGATGATAGACCAGAAAACGTAGCTGTTGAAGCTGTAGATTTGCCGGAGCGGCTTCTTGCTGGTTGCGGGGCGGATGATATGATTGCCGGCAGGGCAAGATATGGCCCAATCTCAACCGCCAATTGCCTGGAGGTGTGCTGCACAGGGCAGGCGCAGATGGGTGCAAATGGAATGCCGCGCGCCTGAATTTGAACCCTCGGGGCAAAACTTTCGGGACCCACACTTGGAGGACGACGGGAGCGACAGTGAAAGTTCGAATCCAGAACACTACTTTGTTAAGTACCGACAGGAAATTCCATTTACTCGCTATCGTAGAGGCTGAAGGCTTGCGCTTGAGCCCTACGAATCACTACTAACGAATGAGGTGGGACATTTCAGTACCCAGGCGTCTACAAGTAGCACTTCCGGGATAGAAGAGCTACACGTGATTTGGTCGCGTGCCGTATGATTGATGTATAAGGTATACACAGGACCAGTGTAGAAGTATCATATCACATCACTCAACAACTTTAAGGAGGAAAATATAGCTCACGTTGAGGCTTTCGACTGTTCGCTTTACGCTGTTTCTACTAGACAGTACAACTTCGGGTATCAGATCGTGTTAGCTCTACCGAGCAAGGGCTGTGTTATTGCCGTAGCCAACCCGCATACGGGTTTAGGGGTGATGTAGATGATACCCTGAGAAGGCCCAATCTCTCCTCCTCTGCCTCAAACCTTGCGTCCTTCTCCTGTTCGAGTTACATATTGTTCAAAATAGTTCGGACATGTAGTATGGACAAAGGGTAAGTGAGGTACAGTATAAGTGGGAGTGGGAGGATGCATAACAAGGGTTGTTTGTTTGGGGGAATTGTTTCTTTCTTCGTGTGTCTCTACATGATTGTGCGTTCTGCGTCGGATCGCCCTATGATGCACTTCCTTCTCCTTTTGCCTTGGGTATCAAAGGGAAACGTGTGCTACAGGGTGACGCGCAGTACATGATAAATCTCTTCTCTCTTCTTCCTCCTTCTTCTCTATCGCTGACCCGAATAACGCCCAAGACTCGTGTTACCAAATAACAAACCAGTGCTAGCAGCCGCGCGCAGGGGGGGACGAGGGATATAAAGGTGTGTTGGTGCTGTGTGAAGTGTCATTTAAACGAGCATGATGTATAAATTAGTGCAAAACCATCAAGGGGCTTGTATCACATCATTTGTGCATCGCGTTACTGGGGGAGTGGGTGTAGTGTCGTGGGATCGTGTCGCGTTCGTCAAGGATGAATTGCTGCTAAGGGGCTTGGGGGTAGTGATGGGGTAATGCATCTTCCAAAGCGACTACGGGAGTGAAGTGCTTGAGGTGACGCCAGTGGCCCAAAGGGCCGGCGAGCTGAGAGAGCACCTTTGTGACCGTCCTCAGGCGTGATTCAACCTCATGTCTGGATCATGCCTTGAGTGCCGCTAATCTGGCGCTTGACCTGCTCACGCGCCCACCGAGCAGTCTCAATGGTACGCTGCTGGAACTCGCGGTTCGACCGAGTCTCCTTGATCATGGCGGTAATCCAGTCCTGGCGGAAGACTTCGGCCAACTGGCCGTTGGGGTATGCGTCCGCAAGATCACTAGACAAGCGTTAATGTTTGTTACAATGTGCTGTCTCAACGTTCATGTCGACTTACCCGATGACACCCATTGCGGCCCGCATAAGGGCTTCGCTGCGGTTAGGATCCTGAGCAATAGTGTTAAGAAGCTCGAAGATCGACTGAACGTAGGGTTCGAGAACGTTGGCTGTACAGCACCTGTCAGCTTCTGAAAATTGCAATGGAGACGAACGAAGCTTACTCTTATCGCTGCTCTTCATGGCACCAATAATGCCACCCCAAGCATCCATGATACCCTCACGGAGCGAGATCACGTAGTCGAACATCTCATAAGAGCCCTCAGCAGAAGCGGTGACGGTAGCAGCTTGCTGAAGAACAACCGCAACAACCGAGAGGTAAGCCTCAAAGTGACCGCCAATAGCGCCAGCAATGTCGCCGAAGCACTGCAGGATAGCAGGCTTGAACTGGTTGGCAAGGGCAGTGCTCTGTGAACAAAAATGGTTAGATCAAATCACAAATTGGGGGAGATTAGCAGAAACGGCAGACGGTTCGACATACCCTGAGGTTGTTGAGGAGATAGTTCATGAACTGATCGCAGTAGGGCTGGCTGCGCTCGCCCATGGAGCGAGTGATATCGCTGACCAGGCCGATAGCCATGGAGCAGAGACTCGGCTCCTCCTGGTTTGCCAGGGCATTGTAGAGGAAGGGAGCAAAAGCGTCCATGTACTTGGCAAAGTCCTCCTCCATGGCGTTCGCAAGACCGCTGATCGCCGCGAAGACACCTTCAGGAACGCCAGACTTGCCATTAATAGTGTTCAAGAGCTGAAGCAGAACCTGCATGATGCGGTCGCCTTGGGGAGTAATCTCCTTGTCCAAGCGCTGGATGATGGCCTGGAGCACAGTGCAGAGACTGGTCTGCATGTCCTCCAGAGTAATCTTGTCTTCGACGCTGACAACCTGGGATTGCATGGGGAGGGTCTCCTCCAAACGTTGAAGGATAACATCCGAGAGGGACGCAACAGCAGGGAGACTGTCGTTAGCAGCATTCTGCACGAACACGTTGAGGACCTCGTAGGCAGCCGTGCGAACTGTGGCGTCGCCGTCAAGCTTCGCCGTCACGGCGAGCAAGTTGGTCACGCACTGGTTGAAGTGAGGAGTGATGGGGTTTTGCGCGGCACCGTAATCGCCGCCAAAACGCTCCGCGAGGTTCATCAAGGCCCAGCAGCAGGACGCGGCCATTCTGGGGCTGCTCATGAGCCCGTTGAACAGGGAGGTGATCAAGGGGTCAAGGTGAACAGCGGGATCGATCACCTCCGAGCAAGTTTCTGTGATTCTGCCAAGAGCGTACGCGGTGGAGTCACGAACGTGTAGAGAGGGATCCTCCATCATGCTGATCAGGGGCTGCATGCCAGACTTGACGATAGGCTCAAGCAACTTCTCCTCGGGGCCATCCATCATGGCACCGAAAGCGGAAACGGCGGCATCACGAAGGTGCCAGTCGTCAGCGCGAAGGTTGGCTTCAACGAACTGGATGACTGGCTGGATGATGGCCGCACCGACAGCCTGAGAATAAAGTTGGAGACACTGGTAAGCGGCACGCGAAATGTTGTACTCGTCGTCGGCCGCATCCTCATCTTGCTTGGTGAGAAGCTGTAAGAGCACAGGGACTACTTCGAGTGTAGCAACGCGGGCGAAGTTGTAGAAGGGGCGCATCTGCTCCGAGCTCTCGACCTGCAGCTGTCGTTAGTGGGGTTTCTTGCTCAACCAAGGGGGCAACGAAACGTACCTGAGCATTGTCATCTTCGATAGCAATCTCCTCCTCGCAAACGGTACTCCAGAATTCGACTGCGAGCTTGGCCACATCCTCGTCATCGCTCTTCATGCCCAGAATAGTAAGACCGAACAAAGCCTTCTCCATGTAGAAGCGCATGTTCTCGTAGTAGAGGGCCATGATGCGGTTGAGGCAGCCATAAGCACCCTGCTGTATCCGAGAGTCCTCGGCCTGTGTCGCCTCGCAAATAACCTGCATAATGTAGTTGCGCTCGCCCTCATGCTTGAAGTTGTTACCGACAAACTCGAGAGAGTCGCCGAGGGCGGTAATGGCGGCAAGACGGACTTCGCGGTTGGGCTCCTCCTTGCGAGCGCCCTGCACGACAGCTGTGAGGATGGCGTTGGAATGTTGAACCAGGCTGTTTCGTAGATCGACATCTTGACTCTCGCAGATGAAGCCGATGGTGGTCAGAGAGGCCTGCTTCTGGTGTTCGCTTCCCTCGCTAACATTCTTGACCAGGGCGTGCATAAGATCTGGCCACTCGTTTCGTGGTAACTCGATGGTAGCGATAGCCGCGATAACCTGCGCCGAGGCCTGGCTTGCCTGGGTACTGCTGGAAGCGAGGGTCTCGAGGGTGAGCTGCTTCACCCGTGTCTTTGTGTCTTGGTCGGTCTGCTGAAGCCATTTTGCTTGGAGCTGCGCTTGCCTAGCGAACTCGCGAGCACTGAAGGCGTTCTTGAGGGCGATACCGGCCGCCGCTCGGATGTGGCTCTGGGCACTCTCATTTGCCAACTCTTGAACAAGTGTCACAAGGTATTGAGACTGAGAAACGGACGAGTTAGCGTTATGAGGACCCTGCTATGGGAACGCGACACTGGAGCAACGAGGGGGGGGAGGCCATACGAAGTTTGTCTCAGCGGCTTGGCTGAGTTGCTGTTCGGCAGCATGTCGCAGGGTCGCGTCTAGACACAAGGAATCAGCATGTGCGTCACGGTTTGGACGGGCTGACGCGAATTATGGCGAGAGCGGCTGCCAAAAGGCAGGAGGGTCGGGGCATGGGTGAGGATTTCGAATATATACTGACCAGGACTCAGCGAATTGGTGAGGACGGTGTTGATATCTGAAGAGCCCTCCATGGTTGCGGTTTGGATGCCTTGTTCGGAGGAAGAACGGGTCTCTCCAGCAAACGAGGCGGGTTGGCGGTGGTAGTGGGAGAAGAGGGGGGGTTTCCGACAGGGAGAGAAAGTCGGCCTGGGCTTGATGCAACTAAAGTTTTGCTGCGTGGAACAAGCGGGGAGCGGGAGTCCAAGGTTCACGGTCCACGGCAACCTTGAATCTTAATCGGGGCAAGACTCGATTTGCTTTCGGTGAGATCAGATCGAACCGCGGAGGCGAGGCGCAGGTGCAGAGCCGTGGGTGGGATCTGGATGCCAGGTGATGGCGGTTGGTGGATGGATGTATCGATGCGGTCCGTCTGCGATGGACAGAGAGGGATGGATGGATGGATGCGAGGGGTTTGTTGCTGTTCCGAGCCTTCACCTGCAAATGGAAGGAGAGAGGAGAATCCAGACACTGTGCAGTGCTTGACGCCAAACTGCGGGTCTTGTTTTGCTCGAAAATTTTGTCAACAATCGCAAGTGCTGGTGCTTCGCCTGGTGAAGGTGGGTTGCCACTGTGCTTTTCGATGCCCGCTGTTGCCCGGGCCTGTCCGGCTGGGGGCGCCACTCGGGCTGTTGTTAGGGGAGGGACGGGAACCTGTAGCGTGCCCGGTAGTGCTGTGTTTGGTGTTACCTGTAGGTACCTTCGTCTCCTGCTCCTGCGATTTTTCGCTAACTCTTGCTGGCCGGGCCCTCAAGTCGAACACCTGCACCAACGGCTCGCTCCGTGTTTCTCGGCAAAGAAGGACGAATTAGACGTCTCGGAAAACACCTAACTTGTGAAAGACTGGATAATGAAATGCCAGAACTTCACAAACGCTTCAAGAAGAC